CTAACGAGTGATATTAGATGCAGCCAGAGCCACGACTAGACAGGGCGGTGGGGGGGGGGGGGGGGTTCTTAGTGGGCCACATCTGGGCTACCTTACACTCCACGCGAGTGATCTGGAAGCTTCGGGTCAGGGTGGGACAGAAAGTCAGGGGGCTCGGTCTGCCTCCCCAGGACCTGGGCGATACACATCTGTCCCTTGTTGTTTCCTGGCCGCATAACATCCTTGGTTACATGGTAATGTCTCAGAGGGGCTGTGGGAGCAGTTTGTTAAAGATGGGGCGCGGCTCCCCATTGTGTTGGCCCCGAGTACCATATTGTCTTCTGCCATAGCCCACCGTCCGTGCCAGTAAGTAGCTTCTTCTTCCTGTGTGTGTTTGACCTTTGAGGTCCTAACATTGTACTTCACCCTAATAAACAAACTCTGTTTTGCTGTACCTACACATTGTGCCAGTAAGAAACATTTTTGCTCTCATTTTTTCCCCCAAGGTTCCTCCTGTCTGCAACATCTTATTATAGTTTAGATTGTTTTTATTTAGTTTTTATTTCTATATTATTTTCAATTTTCACTTGAAATCCAATTTAGTTTTCAGTGTGGTTTATTGGTTTTTATTTTAAATATACATTTGCATTTAGTTTCTATATATTTTACTTCTAAGGGATACACTTAAAATTGTATTGCAGTGTTATGTGTCTGATCTTTAGTGAATCCTAAATGAATTCACACTGCACATTATATACTTTTGTCCTCATAATGGGCAAAAAATGTTCCAGGCGTTATTAATGGATATTAACAATAAACAAATCAGTACTCAAGGTAAATATTAATAATAATGCAATTAAAGGTATCTGATACCAGATTTCATTTTATTTCAGTTTGTTTTGGAAGCAACGTTTATAGTTTTCGTTTAGTTCTTTTATTTTCACATCTTCTTTTACTTCATTTTATGAAGTTGTACCCTTGCAGTTTTAGTTTTTGTTGACAATAGTAACCCTGGTCTACAAGCCGAATCCCTTCTTTTTCATCTTTCATCTGAGTCTGAACAAATGAACATCACTCTTATGAGCTCCAGAATTAAAAATGCAGGTACAAACCAGATTTAGTATCTCCCACTGGGTTTAAATGCTTTTGTTCAACAAGTATTGCAAAGTTAATTTAGCAGTACACTTTATTTTGTATCCAAAAAAATTATACATTTCAGCACACACCAAGTTTCTGGAAACAAGGTTAACAAATATATTATTTCTAAGGTGAAATCTGTGCTTTGTTGACAGTGGCATTTAAGACATCCGCAATCCGCAAAACTTTTACAATGAAGTATCACAGTTAAACATTGAACAGTTTGCAGTTAAAAAGCTGATTCCCCAAGTGAATTTTATCAACGGAACATACGGAAAATAACCTATGAAGCCATTTTGGAAGTTTTACAATTCTATGAGATGTAGGTGAATAGTGCAGTGAGCAGCACACATATGGACAGAGGGGACTGAAAAAAGGGTGTGTGTGTGAGTGTGTAATGGGGGGGCTGGCATTTCAGGTGAGCTTAGAAGGAGGAGCTGTCTAACTGCACGCTGAAGACTTCGCAATGTCACAAGCGCAGCTGAAAAAACGATGTACTGCTCTACAGCTAACTGCACATTCGTGTCAGCTTCTTGACACTATCTTATCTCTCCACAAACACTAAAACTACCATGCTGACCAAACACATGAGCCAAAATCACTCCCCCCCCCCCACAGGCTGACAACACAGTGAATCTCGCTGCGCTCCACTAAGCCTGAGGTCCTGCGGGCCCCGTGACGGGGCCGGGCTGAGCCGAGCCGAAGGCCCGCTTCCCGCGCCAACAGCCGTGTGCCAGTCCGTGGACGTGGGGACCCCAACCCAACAAGAGTGCGTTAATTGTGACAGAGAGTGATACTCCGAAATCTGGCCCCGCCAGGGACCTTTTGCCCCTACAAAAAGAAGGAGTGGTGGGGGGGGATTCTCAGACCAATTATAAATAACACAAAGGACTTTCACATGGAGATACTGAAACAAAACCGCACTGCCAAAATGGGTTCCATAGTTATAATTGTATCATTATTCACTTAGTACTGTTGTTACCAATGACTGCTTTCACAGCTTGAATTTTTTTTTTTAAATCTATTATACAGATGGACAGGAGCATGCAGAAACTGTTATGCTACATCACAGTGTTACATAGGTCATACTTTTACCAAATCACACTGATTGTTTCTGGGTATTTCACTGGCGATTCTGCCAGACAGCCAGCAGCACCAGAGGTGCTAATGCAGGAGGTGCCTTAGAACAGCCCATTCCTAAAAAACAGGATCATGTGACTGTAGACCACATACCAGCAGCAATTTACTTGAGGGGACACAAATAATGTAGTGGTACTCTTATTTAATGTATTAATTAGCCAGAAACTATGTGTTAGTTACACACTGATCCCTATGTGTTAGTTACACACTGATCCCCATTATGAATCAATCGGTTCATGTATTTCATGGAGTCACTATATTTTTTTTAACTCAGTAACTAAGTGCCTCTCAAGTAAAGTGTTACCAAATTGTCTTCTGTAGCAAAACCGTCAGATCCTCCATCATGGGCTTAACAGTTTTCAGGCAGATGTAATCCACAATAATTACTCATAATCCCTTGCTTATAAGACGTTCTGTAACCCTAACCCTAACAAATCATAATCAAAATGCTAGTTAAGAGATTTAACCTTTTTTAGATTTAGTTATATATTAGTGCAATTTTATCAGCGTTAGTCAGTTTTTAATCAGCGTTATCCTTCAATAATGTAAATCGATACCTATTCCTGCAGTACCCATAAAGAAAAACCTAAGCATACAACATAATGCACAATGCATGTCAAAATATTTATGATATTTATAGCGTATATTTCATTAAGGCCGTGAAGATGAAACCTAAATTGGAGGTATTTGACTGCCCGATACGCTCTGCGTGATGTTCCATCCAAATTCCATGCCGCTAATTCAAGACTGGAAACTATCCCAGGAAACATGGGGCATCAGGCACGGCCCCAGGACTGCATGTTTAAAAACGGAACGAAAAAAGCTGTTTGTCACACCCGAAGGTTTTGATCGCATACATGTGCATACATAAGAAACACTTATCTCACACAAGCATACAGGCGCACGCCTCGTGATAAAGTTTACTGTCACACCCGCATATTCACAGCAACGTATTTCTTTTAGCGCCTGAGACGTTTGTTGAAAAATACGTGCACACACGTACTAAATCTCCGACAAAAAACAATCAGAAATCTACGTTTGTGCTTTTGGGAGGTTTTCCACTGATCGATGATGCGAGGGATCCCCACATTCCGATTACAGCGTCACACCTCCTGTGTATATTTTTCTTGTACTTAGAAGCAGCGGCGATTCGTTATTTTAATAGTGACACGACAGTGACACCTAGTGGTAATAGAACAACTGACCGAAAGCATCCCCTTTACTCTAAAAATTAATGCTTCTGATGATAATTGGTGAGTTTGAGAGTGAGATTAAGTGTCAATAACTTATTTCATTATTGTTAACATGTAAATAGAATTTTAAAGCATCACGTTACATTCTGATAATTCACTGTTTACGTCATAATGGCGGCTACAATTGCCTTACACCTCCACTGTTAGCGGTTCAAACCCTACCCTGTGTTCTCCATGTCCTAAGACGTTCCGTGGTCAGGCATCTTAAATGCTGTTTAGTGCCATTTAACCCATTAGGCGACAAAAGCGACAGCCTAGGGCGCCATCTTCTGTCCATCTTCTAACCAGCCGATTTCACTATGTTCCGGACTGAGTGCTGGCGCCCTCTAGAGTGTCATCTCGGAACATCTTCGGGGCAAGCGATATACTGTAGTTTGTATTACCTACAGTCCTACAACACCTCCTTCCATTCATTATGGAAGGTGAGGAGATTTCGTAAATTTACATTTATGTACAAAAACTATACCATAGTAACAATGTTATTAACCAAAAACTCAATATTTTTGTTTCGTAATACATAACCATATCGAATAACCTTGAGAGAAGGAAACTCCACAGCCAGTCAAATACATCCAAACATAACTTATGGACACTTATGCAATTATAAAACAAATGGTCAGTCGTCTCTATTTGCGAATCACACAATACCTCCAAATTAAAATGTAATGTTAGAAACCCTTTCACTTTTGGAGCAACAGGTTATTTTAAATGCTTTGTTCTTATGGATTTAATTTCCAGTTGTCCATAATCTCTTAAATCTCTATTACTTTTTGCTGGCCCAGGATATAAAGAGTTAATGAAACTTTTTCTTGAAAAAAGTAATATTAGATTGTCCAACAAATCCAATTTGTCAATAATTAACTTCTGCAATTTGGGCCTATGATTATTCCCAAAGCCTCTAGATAAGTGCAGAAATGCTGTAGGTAAAGGATTCCGCTAAAGAACAATTCAGATTATATCTCTTATTAAAATCCTCATGTCCCAGTAACTTACCTTATTCATCCATTAGATGAATCACTGACCATATACCTCTCTCCTGCCAGCTCTTAACAAATACGGGCTACCTTTTCAAAATCACCCGATTGTTCCATATTGGAACATCATGTGGGCTAAAATTGTGCTTATAGAGTAGACCTCCAATATTAACAACACATATTGGTGAAAAGCAGAAAGTGTGACGGATATCACAGTTCAGTAAAAATTCAACATCCCCCACCAACTGGTCAAAGTACTGAGGTACATGAAAAGTAGGGTAGATTACTATTCCTTATGAAAGACTCGAGCCAATTAATTTTAATAACTCAATCCATCACATCAAAATCAACAATTTCCCCATCTTTATAGTTTTTAATGATATCCATTTTCCTTATATAATTATGCTTGTTCTTCCAAATAAAGTTGACATTTAACTGATTTATTTCTTTAATACACCTAGATGATACGAGTAAGGAATAGATCTATTATGGCAGGTAACGGTACAACCTTATGGGCGATTGTTTTTTGCGTCATTTCCGGCGCCCTTTTTCCGCGACGGAAGATCGCAGTGTTTCGCTGCATCGCACTATATTTGTGTGAAAGATGTCTCCGTCTGTGTTCAATTTTAATGAAGCCAAAGATAAATTTACGGTAAGGGTTATGCAGTTTAAGCATGCCAATCCACCGCTTGTGTATGCTAAACTGGGTTATCGTCTCTTAAATGAATTTGCCAAAGTTTGCATACGTTTGAATATGAGTGCGTTATCCCGGCTAGCCGGCTAGTTAGCACGGTGGGCTGTTTTGTTAACATTTTGGTATGTGATGGGGCAGTTTATGTCTTTGTATTAACGAAGTTAAGTTAACGATCGTTATCTAGCTTTCATTTTCTGAAACGTGTCCATAGACTGGTTTCCAGGGCCACGCTATCTGACCATGATGCTTTAGATTTCTTACGCTTTCTTGTCTGTGTCATGGCATACCCGTATCGATTATTGATTCGCATTGATTATTATCTTTCATTCAGTAAACGTACGTGTCTGTCTTTTTTCCAAGGCTGCAACTATAAGTGCGTTGGACAGTAAGACCATCAAACCCTTGATAAACATATTCAACCAGCTATCCGGAAAGTAAGAGTTTTATCTATCTAATTAACGAAGTGTTGCGTGTCTTTCCGGTCGGTACATAGTTTTCGCACTCATTAAGGTTTAGCTAGTCACTGGGTGACTAACGAGTAACCAGAGACCATCGATTTTTTCCCCCCCAGTGAGACGGAGAAGAAGACAACGTTCGATCAGGCCCTTCGAGGGGTGTTGGAGGGGGTAATTGTAAGCTGAGATTGGTTATTAATATCAATAATTAATGAAACATATAAAGTGGGTATCATGGTTAATATTTGGCATGGCAACTTTGTATTCCCTAGGTGAAACAGAACACTGGCTGTGATGATTTCCTGTCGCTCATTTACCTCAGTATTGATGGAGTCACTGAAGGTATGTTACCACAACCAGTATCTGACTGCCTCTTTGTGGCTGCCTAGATAGAAGTCAAGGCAAATGCCAGAAGTTGTAAAACCTTGGAATGAAACTCTACTTCTGGTCTGCAGGTATCTGCTCAGCCACAACCCCTTTCCTCCTGCTTGGAGATGTGCTTGACTGTCTTCCTCTCGACCAGTGTGACAAAATATTCACTTTTGTTGAGGAGAACGTCTCTACGTGGAAATCTGTAAGTTGGCGGGGGGTTGGGATGGTTTATGATGCATCCCTGTTTTTTTGTCATGCAAAGATATATGACAACTGCTCTTTGGTTCTTTGGAGACCCTATTCGTAACATTCTGTGTCTTCTTCTAGAGCTCATTTTATACTGCTGGGAAGAACTACTTGTTAAGGATGTGCAATGGTAAGGTTTTATACCAGTTTAAACTATGTTTCATGCTGAGTTAAGCATTAAAGCCTCAGCAACAGAGTACACAAAATGCTCCAGTACCTATTAAAGTGCATTTTAAATTTGTATTACAAACATCACTTGCTGCAGGTGTGGTATATTATTATTGTTTCCAGTTTATCTTGAAGTGAGCTGTCATTTGATCACTGTTTATGCTCCATAAATGTATGGCACATCGGTAATAAGCATATGTTTGTGTCTCCCTGCCCAGATCTCCTGAGGCGTCTGTCCAAAACGCAGAACACTGTCTTCTGCGGCCGGATCCAGCTATTTCTGGCTCGACTGTTTCCCCTGTCGGAGAAATCCGGTAGGGAGAGATTACTCTGCCCTTTGATTTCAGTGTATTTGTTAACAGACGTCAGCGTAAGGTGACATCTGTGATTTATTCGTGTGTTGTTTATATATTTGTCTTGAAGTATTCATTTTGCTTGCCTGTTTCTGTGCCCTCAGGTCTGAACTTGCAGAGCCAGTTTAACCTTGACAACATCACAGTGTTCAACAAGAATGAGCAGGAGAGCACTCTTGGTCAGAAGGTTGGTGTCCACTCTGAATATGCTGCATGTTAACAGCTGCCCATTCCTGTGATGTGCAACCTAAAAAGAACCAAGCAGCAATTGTGTGGAACCCAACAGCAGGCTTGTTCTAGAACTCCGAACACGTGATTGCCAGTATCTACAGATATACCATAGTTGACCGTGGTTCAGATATGAAGTACAGGACAATAGCACATTGGAGAAAATGTTTTTATTATTATTTAAATTTTTTTAAGGATGTGGTACAAATTACAATGTTACAGAAACTGTGCACATTGTATTAAAACAATTGCCGTAAGAGTAGCATTCGCAGCAACGACACTAAAGGGAACAGCATGTAGCCATGTGCCAATTCCATTGTGTTTGTCATTGTTTTGTCTCTGTGGGTCACAGTTGTGGCATTTTAAGGTGGAGTGGTCACACTTGCATTCTTGTCACCCTCACAGCACACAGAAGAGAAAGAGGAGGGTATGGAAGTGGAAGAGGGTGAGATGGGAGACGAGGAGCCGACTCCCTGGTAAGAGGGGCTCTCTGTGACAACATCAGCCCTGGTAAACAAAAGGGTAGTCAAGTGGGACAATGTAGAAGTGTTATCTTAATGAATATTTGGTTAAGGACGTCAGTGTAAGTTATAGGAAAGGCTGAATTTGCCGTGCAGTCAGTTACGTAATAAAATGTGTGCAATCCTGATTTTATTTTTTAAGAAAGTCATTCTTTTTATGTCCTCTTCTCTAGCACCGTTCCCATTGATTACGCCCTGTATAGAAAGTTCTGGACATTGCAAGACTACTTCAGGAACCCAGTGCAGTGCTACGACAAGTTTTCCTGGATGACCTTTCTGAAGGTGCCCTTCTCAGACGCTTGTACCACGACTCGTGTCGTTGTACCCATGCACAAAGCAACGGCCAGATACTGGTGCGAATGTAATCAGTGACTGTTTAATGCTAATCTGTACTCAAGAAATGTAAAAGTTTAAGCCTCATAATATATTTGTTTTAATGGCATGTTCGGGCCAAATTGACCAAGACAGCGGTCCATTTGAGCTACTTCCATATATATAAGATATTCATCAGTCATCTGCAGTTTTTGCTTATCCATTGCTTAAAAAAAATACATTTTTAATATAGGTGCATGTTTTTACTAGAGCAGTTCAGGCGAGGAACAAGCTAATATGCCAGGCTCACTCTCCGGTGGGGAGCCTCTTTGTTAAACCGGCTGCTTTTTCAGTAACATTCTCATTTGTGTCCCGCAGTACTCGGATGAGACCCTGGCGGTGTTTAAAAGCTACAAACTGGACGACACACAGGCGTCGAAGCGGAAACTGGAAGAGCTCAGGACAGCGGGAGGAGAGCACGTGTACTTTGCGAAATTCCTCACCAGTGAGAAGGTGCTGTGCTATTATCAGTCTGAAAACACCGGCTTTCTAGATGCTAACATTTACTGTATATCCTTGGGCGAAGGCTATTTGGCCCTCATTGTCTTGTCCTCTTTCCACACAGCTGATGGACTTGCAGCTAAGTGACGGTAACTTCCGACGCCACATTCTCCTACAGTATTTGATCCTCTTCCAGTATCTGAAAGGCCAGGTCAAGTTCAAAAGGTAAGGGATATTTCTCTCTCCTGTGTTTTTGGGAATGTTGAATAGATCCTAAAAATCCCATAATGCAGCTATAGTTTAGTAAAAACAGATTGCCAACTATCAGAATGGCCTTTTGTAATGAGCATGTTGTATGTTTGTTCGTTCGTATGTTCGTTCGTATGTTCGTTCGTATGTTCGTTCGTATGTTCGTTCGTATGTTTGTTCGTATTGTTCAAATGTTGCAACTCACTTTCCTCAGCTCCAATTGTGTTTTAAATGATGACCAGTGCCTATGGATGGAGGAAACCAGCAAACTGGTTTACCAGGTCAGTTCTTTCATCCCCAGTTGTCTTTAAATAGCTCTTGGTGAACATTTTCAATCCAGGTTTATTGCTTCTATCCAAAGAATAGTAATTACTTCTGATTAATTACCCAATAGGCTGAGAGTTGGAATGAATTATTACCCAGGGGAGATGTTTCCTTTTTGTGGCAGACACCTGCTGGTGCACAGAAGGGTGTCTACCCAAAGCATCTTTGTTTAACAGCACAACCTTTCCTTTGCAGTTGCTCAGAGAAATTCCACCTGATGGAGACAAATTTGCCAACACGGTGGAGGTAGGCCTCTTGATGAAACTGAAGATGGTAGAACTATTATAAAATACAGGAGTTTTAAACATTTTCTTCACCTAAATAATGCTTAGCACAATTATATTAACTGTACAGAACGTTTAATGGGGAATCTTCTTGAGTGATTTGTACCCTGAACCTTAGCAAAAGTGGATTGTATATTTTTACACAACACTTCAGAAATATTCAGAGGTGTCAGTCTCGGCTATGTCTTTACAGCACATTTTGAACAATGAGGAGAACTGGAATGCGTGGAAAAATGAAGGCTGTCCAAGTTTTGTGAAGGAAAGGTAATGGCTTGTTCCTACGGCGCGGTGCTCATTGCTACATGGTCAGCATGGACCTCTTTAGGATCTCTGTATAAGCCGGGAATTTGGAACGTCGTGCGGCTTGCAGTTGAAGGCTGAAGACCGGCGTGAACATTCTCTTTACCTCATCTGCTTCAGGCCTGCTGACGCGAAGCCCTCAAGGCCGACTCGTAAGAGACCGGCGCCGGAGGACTTCTTGGGGAAGGGTCCTGACCGGAAGATCTTCATGGGCAAGTCAGTAGACGTTCAGTCCTATTTTAAGGTGTTAGTCATGAAAACTCATTGATGCTTTTATGAGATACGAGTATTGGTAAATATTCTGAATATCAACCTTGCCCCCTCGTAACATAGAGTGTCTGTTTATACAATGGAAACCCCCCCAGTCCTGTTAGAAAAAGGAATGTACTGAATTATTCAAGCACGCTGAGGTTTACTTCTGTTGCAGTGATGAATTGACACGACTCTGGAATCTCAACCATGACAACATGGATGCCTGCAAGTCAGACAGCAGGTGTGTGGAATGAGGTTTGGTCATGCTGTGGGGAGCCAAACTCTGTATTTATCATCACTTTTAATCAGCAGCTTGAAATTCCACCTGCACAGGGCTAAATTTACTTCACAGTGTGAATATAATGCAGCATTTTTTTTCCCCCCTTAGGGAGTTCATGCCGTCTCTCGAAGAGTTTTTCGAGGCGGCCATCGAGCAGGCCGACCCAGCCAATATGGTGGAGGATGAGTACAAGTATGAACACGTAGACACTTGTCTCCATTGCTGCAATACATCATTCAGTTTGTCTTGCATTACTAACCCTCAGATTTGGTTGCCGTTAAATCAACTTTCTGAATCTCCTACAGATGTTCGTCCTTGGCCACTTATCATAGGACTGCAAAGCTTTTAATTTGTCATTGGCCTCTGTGATGTGCAGCATTGTGGTGGTCTTTGGCCTCTGTGATGTGTGCAGCATTGTGGTGCTTTCACAGCAGGCCTTAAGCTTATGCCCCTCCCACAGGGTGGTGAGAAACTCCAACTACGGCTGGAGGGCATTGCGCTTGCTGTCCCGGAGAAGTCCCCATTTCTTCCAGCCCACGAACCAGCAGTTCAAGAGCTTGGCGGACTACCTGGAAAGCATGGTCATCAAGCTGGCTAAAGAGCTTCCGGTGAGGGCGTGAGCCTGTCATCACTTGCCCTCAAGGCATCCCTCAGGTGGGCTGTAGCCAAGCTAGATTAAATCCTATCTTCTGTTCTGCCCCACCTCAGAAAGATCTCCCATCTGAAGAAATAAAAACTGGCGAGGAAGAAGAGGATGACGAGAATGGCGATAATCTCCTGAAGGAGAGCAATGATAGTGCGTTTGTTTCAAGTTTCCCTCGATTACGCCATTTTACCCTACTGTGTTAATGGGTGTTGGAAAATCCCTCAGTAGAAATGCCATTTCAGGTGTACTTTTCCTCCGCCTCTAGGCCCCGGAATCCAGAACAAGCTTGTATCCAACCAACAGATGGATGAAGTAGCAGCTAAGCTGGGCTCCCAGTGGAAGACGCTGGCAACGCAGCTGGAGATGAAGGCGGCCGAGGTGCGGGAGATCGAGACGGAGAGCGAGGACGCGGACATGCAGGCCAAGCTGCTGCTGGTGGCGTGGCAGGACAGGGAAGGCAGCCAGGCCACGGTGGAGAACCTGATCACGGCACTGAACGCGGCAGGGTTCTCCAGCTTCACAGAGGCTCTCAGTGACACATAGGCAGGACGTGTCCCTGTGCGCCCGACCACAGCGAATTCTTTTACTGTATACCGTCATTCGTTAAATAAATGTTTTTGTAAAAGTACCCGTTTGCCCCAAGCGCAACATGTTGGGAGGTAAGGGGGGGGGGGGGCTTCCAAGTCATTCAAATTAGACAGCCAGTGTTCATAGAGCAGTTTATTTGTGCCCATTTACGAAAAGCCAGCAATCAATCACGTAGGACAAGGTTAAGGCCCACTCCGTCCTCAGACTTACAAGAGGAGTTACGAGGAGAACGTCAGGCAGCAACACACACAAGCAAGGACCGCGGCCGGCCGGCCCTGGAAGCGGGGTGGGGTCCTAGCCGCACGACACGCTCACGGGAAAAGAAAGGGACCATCAGACTGGTATATCGAACTATTAAGCCACATCTTGCGGAGTTAGCAGTTACAATAACTGATTCCGGTTCCCGAATAAACGGCCCGTAACACTTCAAAGGGGCTAAATCTGAGAGAGGCCAGCGAGGCACCGGCTTGACCCCGTCACTTGCAGTAGGTGTACATGCTAAAATAAAGTGCAGAAAGCAGAACACTACCAGCTGTTAACTCATCCCTCAAGGAATAACTAGCAGTCATAAAAACTATATGCTTCACAATTTTTTTTTCTGTTTTTTTTAATGGAACCATCTTGACAACGCGGGTCAAAATAAAGTTTTAAAAAAACTGTCTGACACAACCGTTTTGGTAAAGGCTGGATACAGGGAAAGAAGGGAAAAAAAAAAAAAGGTCAAGATTCAAAGAGATGAGTATTTATTGGACATCTATACAGACAGTGCTTCCAAATGGCATGTTTAAGCTTCCCGCCTGGATTTACCGCTCCTCCGGCAGGATCTCTAGCCGGCGAGGCCCGTACAGCAGAATGTACGCTATGTGCCAGTCCCCACCGCCAGACAGCTTCAGGATGTCCTCCGGGGCCACCAGACTCACTTTGTCATCATCAAACTTCACCCATTCATCTGCAAGCGAACAGAGAGCAGGACCCTGTAAGCCGGAGGAGGAACGTTTCTCGTTGGGGTGGTGGGCTACTTGAGGGCAGTGTTCCTGAAACCTAGTCCTCAGGGACCCCCCCCTACCCCGAGACAGTCCACATTCTTGCTCCCTCCTAGTTCCCAGCCAATCAAGAAGACTGGATACCTGGTTCGGGTGGGTGGGGATCTAGGAAGGAGCAAAAACTGAAATGGGGGTCCCCGAGGACTGCACCGAGGGGAACGGTGCTTTAGGGAGACCGCATTGCTGGAGGAAACGGCGCCCCCACTTGGATGGCCCAGGAGGGAACGGCTCACCTTCTTTCCTTTTGACCCAAGCGACGTAGTGCCCCGAGGAGCTGGAACGGCCCTGGTGCGTGAGCACCGCCTGCAGGTCATAGTAGCCGCTGTTGCTGGAGCCCCAGTCTGAGAGGGAGAAAAAGCAGCACTGACGTGGTGACATCACATGACATCTCTGTCGCGGGGACAGCAGAGGGACACGCGGCAGATGTGACGCGGGCTTACCGTCAGTAAAGGAAAAGGGCTCGTATTTCACATCTTTCAGAGATGTCATGGTTTTTTCACCCTGTTTAAAGAGAAGAGCAGGTAGCTGAACAACTACAGGGTTATAAACCTGAACCATCTTCGTTACAAGGTGACAGGAGATCATTAGGGGGAGCGGCTCTGAATATCTATAATTCCAAGAAATTTCACCAGGACTTCAGGCTCATCTACTGGGAGCTGAAACGTACCCAAAGGGGAAGGGTCAGCCATTTTTAAGACCGTCGGTGTGCATGATGGGAAAAAGGACTTGCCTTTTGCTGCTGTTTCTCCAGCTTCTTGTCTTCGACCTCTTTGAACTTCGACCTGAGGGGCAACAGCTTCTCCTGCAGCTCAGGGGTGCACAGCTCATAGACGTCCAACATCAGAGGGAATTTCACGTCCTACAGAGGATGTCTGGAGTCAGCCATAGCCACGTGCATGCAAGTGGAGTTTGGTCCAAAGAAACGGGGAGGTCTGACCTTTAAGACTTTGGCATTGACGGACTCCTTCTCCTTGTAGAAAAAGCGGACCATCTGAACGGTCAGATAAGCAGGCAGTCGGCTGATTTTAGACTGGATAGAACGGGGAAAAAGATGTTTCTTTATGGAAGGAAATGTCTCAACGCAGCTTGAGCCATGAACGAGTCATAAATTGCACAAACGACTTTTCAAGCGGTGAAACACAAACACTCACAGATTTTATGTACAAAGCGTTTCTCTGCAGAGATGGGGAGAGCTTAGTGATTTCCTCTTGCAGGCGCTGCGTGGGGAAGACACGTGTTTAGGTTAGACCTCGGGATGGGAGATCGAGGTGGAGGCGACTCGAGCCCCGAGACCCAGAGCCCACTCACCAGCCGCAACCCCGTGGCCAGATACTTGACCTCCTGGTTGATGAAGCAGCTGAGCTGCAGGTGGTTCTCCTTGCCTTTGACGAGATCCTCATCGTCTGCTTCAGTGCATTTCATGCTGGGCAAGCAAGAGTTAAGGGGAGGGAGATGATGCAGTAAACTAGCAGCCGATTGGAGGAGTGCTTAGAGGGCAGGGCCTAAGGTGCCAATAACATAGATCCTACAAAACAGGAAGGCAGGGCTATTTACAAGGCAAAAACAGTTTTGAAGGATACGTGGTCTCAAATTCCACCCCAAAATACTGGTCAATGAAGTTCTTCTTGGCTGAGGCAGCAGTAGTGCCACTCGCAGAATCAGACTGGGGAAGAAAGCAAGTTATGTACGTATGCATTGAGTCCACCTTTCGGAAAAGCTTGAAGACGGAGTGAGTGAGTCAAACATTTCATGTGTTGGCTTCAGCCTCATAATAATAGGTGGTCCTATTTTGGCCTATTCAGCCACCCCGGAAATACTATTTAGCGTTACATCCCATATTTTCGTGGCGCCCCCTAAGGGTTCCATGCTAGATTCGCCCCTGCTCAAACCCTGCAAAGTGTTCAGCTTGAGAAATAAACCCCCTTCAAGAAACATTACAAATGGGCACCAACACAGATGCTTGCTTCTCCACGTGGAGCAATGATCAGTCTCCTTTTCCTGAACTGGGAACACGAGGCTCTATACTCCTAGAGAGTAAACGAAAGCCGTTACATGACCCCTGTTTAAGAGTCATGCCATAATGAGATGAGACCTTGCAAATCAAACATAAAGAGCAGCTCTTCTCAGCGTGTTAGCATGAACATTCAGAGTCCTGTGGTCACCAATTCACAATTTTCCCGTTACCATCGTCCCGTAGCCCAGATCTGGCCCACAGACCAACCTCCATTGGGGTTTCTGCCTCCTCTGGCTCCAGCTTCTGCTGCAGGACCCTCATCATCTGCACCCAGCATTCATTGGCGTCCTGGGGTTCAGAGATGGAAACGGCACAGTATTAATACGGTGAATTACGACCAAGAACCTGAATTCACAATATAAATATACCAGAGTTTGGTAGATTGCTTTAGTAATTGAGCGGAGCTCAGTGCATAACATCTGCATGCCGCGAATACTTGGCCTTAGACAAAAGCTTCTTCTCCAGAAACCGACATGCAGGCTTAGGACTTGAATCACTGTTAAACGACGAGGCTTATTAGGCAGAGCCCCCACCCACCTGCTGGAGATACTGGCCCTGGTCGCCCTTCTCTGCGAACTGCGGGAAGGCCATGTGGAGGAACTGGAGCAGCATGATTGGAGGTATGCTGGAGGAGGTCTTGTCCATGGACTCGTACAGATCACGGAGGGCTGAGTGGGGCGCAGAGGCCATACGTAAACAAACAGACCCATGCACGGGGAATATAGGTATCCCCCATTTAACGTTTGCAATACTTTCTGTAAAACAGAACGATTTGGACAGTGATCGAATTAACATAAAAATCCGTAACATTTAAGAAGTAGAATATGGTTAACTAGAGTTCATTACAGTACTGTAACATTGTACGTCAGGCAGACTGCCACGTGTTTTAAAAAACAGCAGCTGCAAGGTCTGGCATTAAAACACAAACTATTTTTTCCATTGTATTTTTATTATTTTTTTTTAAACGCTAATCGATGTTAAATGGAGGATACCTATATATAGAGCCTGATCACACAAGGGTGGGTGGAAGATTAAAGACAAGATGTAAACAGAACAAATACTGCGAGAGCGTCTGCAGCTGCAGATCTCTTCACTACAGGCAACAATTCCCCTGTAGCCAGGTGGGCTGGAATGGTCAAACAGGTATCACACACATTTGGCCCAGTCCATGCAGTCCCCTGTAGCCAGCTGACAGGGTTTAAGGGCAAGGCTTTAAGGAAGGGCTCCCCTGACCTGCTGTGATGTACTGTGATGACGCGTTGGCCCCAGAGGATCTCAAGGCGCCAGAGTACCTGCAGAGGGAAGAAGAGCGTCAGCCTGAAGGTGGCGCTGGTGCATTCACAGAAACGTGATCCCCGGAATCCCACATTCTTCACAATATTAACCCTCTGGGGTCTAGGGGTGGGGGGACACGCTTTCACTGACTGGGGCATGGTCACACATTTCATTCAACATCATAAACTTAATTCATGGCAAATAAATTATTTCTTATATATTTGTTTTGGCATTAAACTCACCTTAATCTTAGTGCACTTTGTAAATATGGCAGATTTATGTGAAGTTTGTAATTTGACATCAGAGTATAGACATTGCAAAATGCAGTTTGGAACACTTGCAGAAACATTAAACATAGTAAGCAATGCTGGCAGTTTGTCTTGATCCCAGATATCTGATCACCAAAGTCTTGGCTACATGAAGATGACTAAATGGTGTAGATGCAACATTAATTTGGATAAATAAATAAGAAAAAGCTAACTGATGTCACTATTTCTGGCTCCTTCCATTGAATATGTAGGAGCTATCATGTGTATGAATGAGCCATTGACACCTGGCCACATCCCCCCCCCCTCCCCCTTTATGGCGCTGATGGGGACGTATCTGGATTGAGTTTCACCGCTGCGTTGTTCATCAAAATACCATGCGAATGCGATTTGAATACGCGCTAATGTGGCTATTTAGAATGTGAATAGCGATCTTCGGGTGAGAGCGGTACTACACGCCCCCGACGCAGGTAAAACAAAGAAAGGTGACATTCTTAATGTTTAACCTGATTTTAAAAACTTTAATACTTCCGACAATGGATGTTTTGAAAAGAAGACAGATTACGGATTTTGCCAGCGTTTTTTTTCTTCTTCCATGTTTCTACAATAAGATTTCAGCTAGTTGTGAACTGAAATACACGGGAAAGATACGCGGCATCGCCGACGATGCCGTCGGCCCCAGAGGGTTAAACCCAGGCGGCTACAAACAACAAGGGAGACACCAAAACCTGCTGAGAGATCCCTTCAGCTCCGGCACCGAGCGAAGACACTGGACCGTGGCATTCATGTAGCAGGTGTTGCCCAGGTTCGTTAGGCCACATGGCAGCTCCATCTGCCGGGGGGTGGGGGGGAGGTTGGTCAGAAAGCACAGGAAGTTAGTCAGGAACAGGAAACAGGGAACCCCAATGTGCTGGCCTGCCGCCCAGTCCCCTGATCATAGCCTTGCCATTCAATTGGGGCCAAAACAAAGCAAGGCTGAAATTATCCTCTGTAGACCAGGGGGGTATTCCATGGAGGATTTCTTGCTTAGCCAGATAACTTCTTGGATTTAAGGTAGTCTAGGCTAAATGGACTTTATTTTCATTCCCATACATTTAGCCCAGACTACCTTAAATCCGACATGTTATCCGGCTAAGCAAGAAATCTTGGTTCGTGGGACAGCCCCCAGGCAGGGCCCCAGCATGACAACAATCATTTGATCTGGTTATCCCAATATTGACACCAACAAAACAGACTCTAGGGAGCGCCAGAGAGCCTGAGGGCAGGGAACAGAAGTAGTAAAGTCGACCCACCGCAGAAGCGAGCTGTTCTTCAGTCATGTCCTCCACAAACATGGGCCTGACGGCGGGTTCCTCAGGCAGGGCGTCCGCGGAGCCCATCATCAGCAGGGTCATGCCCTGGTGGGGGGGGCGGAGAGAAAAGTGACTTCAGTGTCTGTGGTAATAATGCCCCCCCCTCCGCTCCCACACACACCAGACACTGGAATACTCACATTTTTCAGCTTGATGTTTCCCCATTCATCGTCCTGGGAAAACGACAATTAAATCTATATTAACAATGTTTATCACATGAACCTGTTGATTTCGTTAGACAGTGACTTTCTTCTTCCATATAAACCACTAGACACAAAACTGCGAACTGACAGCCAGGATCAAATCTCCATTACCAAAGGATTTAGTCTCCAAATATCTGCTCAAAGGCCAGGAAAATTAGGCCCAGTTTTTAACAGATGTCCCACTTCATATTCATTTAAATTTCAAGAATATAAACGGGAAAACAGAGAGAGAAGATCCACTTTCAAATACAGCAACAAGTCCCTCGCACCCAAGGATACCCTGGGCTACTTCAGATCACCGATCGTCACTAGCACACCCCAGAACTTCCGCGAGACGGGGAAGCATCTCCCAGCATCCGCACAGGGCCATCCTGAATTTCCCAGTAAGTAAATGTCCAGCATCTCCCTCAAACATGTGAAATAGTTTTGCGCAGGAAAAAAAAACCTTAAAGAATATGGGCCATTTCTTGGAACATCCATTTTCCCCATCCTACTTGCTCACCCCAGATTCATCCATCTGCCCGAGCTCCGATCCGCACGGGCAAGACTATAAGTCTCAAAATGAGAGATTGCTGAGATTTAAGAGCAGCAGGTCTCAATGGCTCTCTTCTTATCCTTATGGATAAGTGAGGACGGTACCTTCAACGTCCCTCCTTTGACCATAACCTTCTGCCGCTCGGGCTGGACGCCCGTCAGGGCGAACAGCTGCGCTTTGAAGACCATGGGCGGCTCCTCCGTGTTCAGCTCCACGCCATCGAACTTCTCTTTCCCCCATTTCACGTTCACTGGTGACAAAAAAACACACCGGTCACTCCGGCATAACGTCCAGTAAAGCTACAACGTCTCAGGCGGCGTGAATGACTCAGCCGAAAAGCAACATAAACACACAATACAGCCCGACTCTCCCAAATATATTTCCAAAAGCTAAACTGAATAATATTATTTAGTATGATGTACATTCAACTATTTTCTCTAAATTAGGCATGCAAACGTAGACATGTTATTCCGATTAACCACAGGACATCTGCACATCTGTATAAACTTACTGATACTTACATTATATTATCATTTGATCTATGCTAGTATTAAAAGTATACTCATCTAATGAAGTTAGCACTGTATTTATCCTTATATTTACGCGCAGACCTATACTCGGGCTTATCCAGACCGCCAGCAATGCAGGTTTCTTTTAAAATGACAGAATCATTACAAATAACTCAGCTGTTGTGTTTTGTTACATCGACTGGATGTAATCAGTGAAAATAAACGGACAGTCGTGTCAATGGCCCAAAGCACACGGGGTGCAATACGGAAACAGTGGACATCCATCAGACAGACACACCACCGCCGAACCTGCCCGGGCCTTAGTTATAACCGAAATGCTATTTGAAGCAGCTATCGATCACTAGTACCCGGTCACTTCCTGAGTACAAGGCGTTTCCTAACTTACGGTGAAGTTGCAGAAACGGAGCGCTGGCTTTTCGCAGCGCCATTGCGGCGCAAGTAATGCTGCGAAAACGGACCGGATCGATCGCGTAGCCGGCGTGAGAGAAAGCAGGAGAAATTAAGCATTAGAAAATGGGGAGATTGAGGAATAGATCGATGTGATCGCCAGCATTGCCGGCTTGTGGGAGGGCTGCCTAGCCGCGTCAGTGTGTGTGCGAACGGCGCCGTTTAGATCTCCGTGTAGTTAACCGATTAGTAGCGTACCGCACAGGGTTCGTTCATCCCGGTAGAGCAAACAAAAGCATGTGGCCGACGCTCGTGTGTCGACTGCACCCCGGGCTGCCGCCTGTCCGCCTGCCTGCGTCCATCTGCGGCCTAACCCGCAGCAGTCACACGTGTCAGAAAGCCGGAGCCAAGCTCCACCAACAAGACAGTGTAGGCCGATCGACTCACCCATAAACACTGGCATTCTCCTTTTTCGCTTTTTATCGGGTATTCCGAGTGCTGGGGGCGCTTATTTGGGCGTACAGACCTCTCCACTCCGAACTTCATTCAAACAGTCCTTCACGATGACGCTGCAACTAGACTGGGGTAAACCATCGACGCGCTCTGGGTGCGTCTACCAGGTCTGCATGACGATGTCTGGGCGAGGGGTAGGTGTGATTAACTGTGTGGTTTCACGTTCAAATGTCAAATTAAATTAATTTCATACTTACACCATCGCTCTCTGTCTATGGTCGTATATATAGTCAGGGGTGTGTATTGCGAGGGGGTTGTTATTCATAGTTCTTTAATTATGGGCATTTGTCATATCCCATGGCGAGTCAGACATTTTAATCAAATCGGATGAGAAGTTTAATGTAGGTATTTACATTGCAAATGCATGCATGCCAAATAAACTGGTGTCTGCCTAAAAGAGTGCAAGTATATCTCTTTAGTGACAGCTACTATTTCATAATTTTAATGAGGTTCATTCGGAATTTCATATGTATATAAATAAACAATATATAGTGTAATTGCTGGATTAATTTATATTAATTTAAATGGAAATATTTGCTAAGTAAATTAAGTAGTAAAATTAACAATTATTCATCTACAAAATTAATCTATGTCGTACAGATCAGTGGATTTAACGCTACGATCAATTACGCGTTTCCTTGGTCCAACAAGAGATGTCACTATTTCTCTTACCAGGCACAAAAAGTTTTATAGATATAGGCAAGAATCTGAAATGCAAACGTAAAAACTCTTTGAATCGATTTATTAACATTTAATCCATTCTTACAGATTAGTTGGGAACAAAGCTGAACTTCTGGGTAAACAGTAATTATGAATGAAATATTTATCATATCCTCATGCATTGGTGTCAGTAAGGTCCTCGCAGGAGATCGAATCATAGTGCGTAATGGAGTCTTGGATCTGGATTACATTAGGTCCACGGCTGATTCAATGGCGTCGACTTCTGGCCTGTTTCAAATGCTTTGGCTGGAAGACGAACCCTCAGAGGAACAAGTGAGCCTCCAGGGTCCTCTACTCATTCAGGAAAGCCTCAGTTTGTATGTATCCAGAGTGTGGGAACCATGGAGCTGAATACTGGTTGGAGACATTCTCAAGTCCAGCCAAAATAAACAATCCGAGGCCCGAGCAGATTAAATGAAGAATTTAGGTTTTTTTTCTACCCGTTTTATGGCCTGCAGGACATACGCATCTTTGTTGTTCCCCATCACTGAACTGGCAGTCGTCAGCCTTGGATGTGTTTGGCAGGTGGGTTTACGTGACTATGACTGGTCAAGGGGAGGGGGGCTAAGCACTAAGTCTAGATGTGAGAGAAATAGGTAGTTGCCACTAGGTAAAGGGTTGACAACTTGGCCTCTTTCACCCATGTCTGCCTCTTTGCTGCAGCAAGTGTGTAGACTCACATAAATGGGAGGACAGAGACCGTGAAAGCAAGCCGATGTCCTCAAGGAGAATTAAGCAAAGTTGGGAGAAAGTTAACAACGTAGGTTCCCGTCACAAAAGGGAGATATCCACTTTACCTTTGTTTATGGGTTGACTTTACATTTAGTTCCTCGACAAACGGTGTCTTGAAACGTGTCATTTGGTAAATCACACAGGTTCTGTACCGTTCGGCTCCGGAGGAGGCCGGCCTGAATGCCAGCCGCTGAAGGCATTCCTCATCCTATCAGAATGTCCTTACCGCCAAACCACCAGCTCCATCGGCAAACAGGAACCTCATTAAAAGCAAAGGTATGCCGGTTTTCGGCAGAATTTTAAAATGGTGTGAGTCTATAAGCAAATACGCAAACATAATAGATAAGATTTAAATATTTTTTTCCAACCTCTAATGCATTAAGAAGAAAAAAAAGCCTAAATAGTATGGAGAATACTGTTGTAGTTGTAATAATACTTTAGTCATTTTAACCCTTGAAATGCACAGGCACTCCTGCGACATGTCCAACAAAGACGGCATATGTTAGATGGTAGATTAAGATATGTTTATTAACACATATCCATCAGTGCGACCAACGCAATTATCACATGCAATTAGACCAAGACAGAATAAAAAAGGTCAGAGTTCCAGTGCTTCTTTTAGTGAACACAACTGCAAAGCCATTTTTAAAACTACGAAGGAGCCGTTTTATTTCCCCCTCCCCCTTCGCTGCAAAATGCTGCTGTCGTCCCTGGTCACGTGTCACAAGTTTGTGTGTGTGGGGGGGCAAAAGGGCCAGTGCACAACCGGAGTAAACTAAGCGAGGCCTTGCCTTCGATAGGGCGAGCTTTTATTTCCCAAGATCCCCGAATCAGGTAGCTGACATTTCATTGGCTGACTATCAACACAAAACATAATGGAGAGGTCCTGGAATTCCATACCAGAGATAAAATCAAAAAGGCTTCTTTAAAAAAACAAAACAAAACAAAAACATTTGTGAACTTGTGTCCCGTTTTGGAGATTGCTACTCAAACATATGGCAGTATAACTGTTATCCAAACGTTAAGGCACTAGGGGGGCAAAATGCTACACGTTAAGTGTTCTACCAATAATTTACAATTCAAACAGTGCAGTTTTACTTTTGTTAACTTAATGTCTTTTTCCAACCATTTGTCTATGAATCAATAAGGCATACATTACAAAATAGTAATAATAATATTACAGAAATGTTCTGCAAAAACACTCAAAGTCATTGGTTTCTTTTAACTGTTAGGTTTGTCTAATGCCATTACAATGTGTTGTCCTTATGGCTTAGCAAATAATAATTACAATAATAACAATAAGAAAATGCATAGATTTAAATGGTCTATTCTCTCCTCCCCTAATACTGAATACCCATTACTCAGTACCCAAAAACGTTTTGCCAAAACTGTCCAATAGACAAAGCTATTCTGTTAATTCTATGAAACGTGTTTGCCTTCCATATTAGGACAGAAGTGGGCAGGACTGATGCCATAAGATCCCCAGAAACCACCAGCGGATTGTGTCGTATCCTAACTACGCTAAAGCTTCTCTGCTAATCTCCGATTCCACTACGTGGGCTACAGATGCACAGAACAGGTCGGTAGCTTCCCAGAATGCATCTTGTGCAGCGTCAGGTGTTCCCAGTGTGGCCTGCTTACACACACCCCCCCCTCCCCCACCCCCCCGATACATGAGATACGAAGCTTTCTACGAAGTACCATCTCTTGCATGCTCCGACCCTTATAGACTTCCACCTCCTGCACAATCGAAATCTGTACCTATGTGCTGAAGCCACATTAACAGCCGACCTTCCTGCACGTTAGAAAACAGCAGCCGGAAGGAGGAATGATCCTCACCTCTCTGCTAAAGCAAAGTGAGGTTGGACATGGTGGATTCCAACAACTGTTAAACACGCGGTGCCTCTTGGTGGATAAAGTTCCCAAATTTTCAATGTTCTCTGGTTCAAATTTCTTATTTCATTCCTTAAAAAAACATGTAAATTTTGTTTTCTTTTTTTTTGTTTTTTGTTTTTTTTGCTGCATAAGGTGATACCCAAGGTCTTGCAGGAGGAACAAACACAGAAAGTCCCCAAAGAATCCATTGGTGCGGATGGTTAGCTGGAAAAGAAAGAAACAAGTGTCTGGTAAAAGTGGAATTAAAAAAAAAGGTTTCATTTCAGTTAGTCTCCCAAAGATTACACTGTAAATCAGGGGTGTCAAACTCCAGTCCTGGGGGGCCGGAGCCCTGTGTAGCTTAGTTCTTTCCCTGTTCCATCACAAATGATTCAGCTCAAGAGCTGTGTGGTAATTAGCACAAGGAGTTGAATCAGGTGTGTTAATTAAATGAGGGTAAACCAAAAACTGTGCAGGGCTCCGGCCCCCCAGGACTGGAGTTTGACACCCCTGCTGTAAGTGGAGTCCCCTAGAGCCGTGCTTCCGAATCCGGTCCTCGGGGACCCACAGACTGTTCATGTTTTTGCTCCTCCGAGCTCCCTGCCACATTTTTGCTACCGGGAGCTGTCTGTCTATGGGTGTCCGAGGACTGGACTGGGAAACACCGCCCTAGAGGGTTAATAACGAAAGACGACCACAGCAACTTAGGCCTGCAAAGTGCCAGACCATCAACTAACGGAATCCCCTTGGTCACGCTTACTGCAAATCAATCAGAAAATTGGTAGAAGTTCAGCACCACAGAGAGAGTTACAGAAACCCAAGACGCTATACACAGAAGCACGGAATAACGACAGTTTGCAAGGTACCTTGATCCACTTCACATCTGATTCGTTTATCAGCCCCCAGGAAAATGTTAACAACCCCAAAGGCTACGCTCAAGCATTCGTCCTGCTCTGACGTGAATTCTACATGTGGGCATCTTCACAGCTTGAATGGCACCAGGTGGAGAACCGGTTAGGAAATGTGACAAAATCACAGGAACCTCTGCTGCATTCTTCAAGAAAACACACTAAATAAATGCAGATGGGATTACGGGGAAGTTTAGCAACGCTGCACATCAGCACTCAAAGGCTGTTTTTCTGCACGATAAAACATGTCAACTAGAGGCAAGTGATGCGCGTCTTAAAGGAGCCGGCTGGTATGACATCCTGCTCAGAGGGAAAAAGGAAGCAAGCGTTTGATCAGCATGTGCTGGACGTCGACTCTGTATCCTGGAAGCTGGGCGGGATCCTGCTATGACAAAGGAGAGAAGGCGTACATCAGGAGGGGCTGAGGACTCGTGGGCACAGGCAGGGACATCACACTCGGCCCCTAGGCCCCTCGGCCCCTAGGCCCACTCCCCAGACGCCTCGTCGGGCTGAAGGCAGCCCCGTCTGCTGTTACTCAAATCGACGGCGCAGGGTGTTTCGCGGGGCCAGTTACCTGGTTTTGCCCGTGATGTTTTTCGGATTTCGGCGGAAGGACTGGTTGGCTACGGAGCGGGTGGACATGGTGCGCGGCGAGGCCCTGGTGAAGGTGGAGGGCGGCGTCTTGGGGATCTTCTTGCCCAGGTGGCCGATCCACTTCTTCTGCTCGTCCTGGGACAGGGCCAGCAGGAGCATGTCGCGTGCCGAGGTCACGTCGTAGTTCACTGCGGGGGGGGGGGGCACACTTAGCCTTTAGCTTCCCTCTGCCCATACGGACTACCGATCCTCAAAACTGAACACGGGGCGTTCGCAAGACCACCATATGCATTTCACGCTAATGGATGGTCCCAGGAAAGCGGCAAAATTCAGAGCCTAGTAACAAAAAGCTTATAAAGTTGTGAGCTTCAGGCTGTTGACATGTGAAGCCAAGAGTCACAGCAGCTTCAAAACAGGTGGCATCCGCATCCGCTTTTCAGTAGAGGAGGATCGGCCAGCTTGGTGGGTGTCGGCGGGCCGTACCTTTGCAGGGGGCGATGACGTCTTCCTTCCGGTCCAGGTGGTCTTTGTGGCACTTGACGTGGCAGCGGCGGCACTCCAGGGCGGGCGGCGGCCTGAAGACGTGCCATAGGGGCTTGGCGCAGGCCTCGCAGTTGGAGGGGAAGTGGTAGAGCGTGGGGATGAATTCGTGGCCCTTGTGGGGCAAACAGTTGGCCTTGTCGCCCTGGAGGGTCGTCTCCACCTCCGCCTCCTTCCGACATTCACCCTCGTTGGCATACAAGATCTGAGCGGGGGGGGGGGGCACCGTCAGATTAGCGGCCTCTCACAGACAGAGGGCACGCATCGCATGGCATTAAAGCAGGTATGTCACGAAGATGCTCTACAGCCAAGTCAGCTTACAATCAGCAAGCCATGCTGGCTGCTGCTTCGTGTTCACAGAAGAAGATTTGACTTCCAAATGCATATTAAAAAAATTAAAAATTGTAACCAGTTAAAGAGTGCCGTCAAACTTCACTTCCTACCTGGAATATTCGAGGGATTTCATCCGTCTCTGCGCGGTAGACGTCCCCCTGAGTAACTGGACGTACGTGGAAGAGTTTGCTGCATAGTTAGGAAAAAGAAGAGTAGCTATTTGCTGGGGGGGGACATACTGCATTGGTAGGTTAGGTGGGGAGGGTAAATTCACCTCATCTGTGGACAACTGAGCTACAGATCTGTCCAGAGCAGAATGCTAGAATTTATACTACAAGCTCAAGAGCGTCCCCTACTGGGAGTGGAGTGCAACCACAAACGGCAGTCACCGCTCAGCTCCATTACTACCAACTACAGAGTAACTGAATCATTACAAATTCAAAAAGGGTCCAGCAACCACTAGTGGTCATTCCATGGAATATCGTGTGATTATCTAAGCAACTAATGGAAGTTAATATTTCATGCTTATGGACTCTGGCACTTTCAAAAATGTGCTGATTTGAACAAGACAAAGTACTTGCAGTGAAAGGGAAAATTCTGAGTGGCTCAGTGTAAACGCAGCAGCGAGTTCACATCCAACAGCGAATTCACATCCAACAGCGACTGATATAGCCCCAGCCACCAAAGACGGAAGCACGAGGCCAGACTCACTCGATATCTAGTACCATCGAGGGGTTGGATTGCTCTTTGTCTTGCTCGTCATTGTAGAAGAGGATCTTCTTGCTGCTGACCACCACATACTGGAGAACGAGTAAAAATCGTTGAATGATCCCAATTATCATTGCTGTTTTCCCAACACATAGTAACTTTTAGCTTAATTTTTTACCGATGACCTTAAAATACACTTTGAGGTTTAAATTCTCAGAGTGACAGCTGTACAGACGAGCGTGTATCACATCACAACAACCAGCCCCATAGAAGCGGACGTGAACAGTCTCCAACCTGCTTCTTCCAGCCATATCGCTTGATGTTAGTTCGGTTCGGTATGGAGAGCCAACCTTCAAGTCTTGAATCTGGAGGTACAGGCAGCTTCAGTGAGTGAAAGTGACACTGGTAATCTGCTCTATCCACAAGAACATGCAGGGAGTAGCAGAAATCAACTGAACTCATAATCCAAGGGGACAAGAAAACCAAGTCAAAAAGCAGCATGTCAAAACAGCAGTGTTTCACCGTCGAACGGTGAATGTATAGGGGCCACTGCCTAAAGGTCATGTGAACGTCACTCGAGGTGCATTGTGGGAAATGTATGCCATCATTAAGGGCCTTAGGCAGCCTTGGGGAACTAACAGAAGGGGATTCCAGATTGCAGGCTGTGGCACTTATACAGAAGGTAACAGGGAACGCTGAGCGGATACGCCAACGTGTCACCTCCATCCACGTCAAGGGCATGCTGCGGCATGACAAGCAGGCAAGAGTTAAAGAAAAGGAAAACGACAAAAAAAACAGGCGAGCGAAGCGATGTGAAGGCCGCCGCCCCTAAAGGCCGCCGCTGCCAGAACAGAGAGCCGCCTCTCTCTCTCTCGCTCGCTCTCTCCGCCAAGAGGAGGAATGTGAGGCCCGCAACGGGCCAGAGGAAAACCCCTGACCAGGAGAGAGCCTCATCATTTCAGACGCTTTTGAAAGGAGTTCACAGTGAGGTTTTATATGCGGGCACGCTGCTCGAGTTTAAATCGGCACGGAACGGCTCCAGACAATGTCTCCCAGACCCATCTGAAGCTACGAAATCAAGGCAATTTACCAGAGAAACTCAATCGTGGACAGATATTCCGCTCGGTACCATCAATATGGCCGCCATCACGTCTCCAGGAATATAAATATAGTCCACAAAAGGGGTTCATCAACACTTGATAGCACCAGCAATTTTCTCGCTGTAGAATCTGAGTTTGTCTTCACTCTGAACACTTTCAAAAACGGTATTTGCCATGTACAGCATGTACAGGAAGGTGCTTAACTGAAAATCCAGAGCCAAAAAAGGATGGGGGGGGGGGGTGCAAGAGACAATACAGGCCAGGCATGACGGGAGCCCGCAACTCCAGGTTACTCACAGAGGAAAAAGAACAGAAGATACAAAGATAGGGAGAGCAAGGGGAACCAACTAGACATGGGAGAAGAATAAGAGAGGAGGGCAGTTTAACACACTTATGATGTTTTCACTGCACACCTAGACAAGGCAGTAAACACGACATGGACCTTTGAGTTTCTGAAACAGTTTCTGAGGCTTGTTTTTTGGGGACAGAGGGGTGACAAGGGCACCTAAACACTGCAGAACAGTCCCAGTGCCACCACAGTTCTGTGGCACAGTGCGCTTTCAGTTCAAATAACCTGATGAGAGCAAGACGCAAAAATTAAAATCCAATACAGCTGGGGGCCTGCGAGAAGCGGTTTAACAGACTACCAGGCCTGGTACAGAGATCAGAGGTCAAAGGGCACTCTCTCAGCCACTCTCAAGAGGTTAATTATCTGCAGACTAAAAGGAGAGGATCTACTACTTCTGAAAAAGGACATTCCCGGAGATCTCGGGGTGGGGGGGCTGCCAAGCGTCCCAGCTCCAGCGCCGCTCACCTGCTATGTTGCCGTCCGTTTCGTCGGTCAGCAGGCTGGTGACGCTGGAGCTGTCCATGCGCTGCTGCAGGTCGTTCAGCTTCTCGCTGAGCTGCTCGATGTCACTGTCCTTGCTGTACATCTGCATCTGCAGCTCCGTGAACCGCATGGACTCGTCGGCCAGTTGCTAGGATGGGAGAAGCGAGCGGAAGAGAGAGGAGGTGTTAAGTGATGAAGCACTGCGTACACTCTAACCACGCTGAACAGAGTTTAAGAATCATTACACACATGCAACTCTTTCACATGGACATTGAAGCAAACACTGATGTTGATGGAAAGTTTACATCTGATCCCTCACTGCTCCCGACCCCCTACTCACTGCTCCCGACCCCCTACTCACTGCTCCCGACCCCCTACTCACAGCCTGCATCTCGCCCAGCTCTTTCTGGTACTTGATGGCCATGGAGTTGAACTTCTCCTTCTCCTGGTTGAGTTCCAGCTGAAGCTTGCGGTTCTCCTTCTCCTTCTTGCGCAGGTCCGTCGTGCTGGCCTTCTTCCTCTGGTCCAGCTTCATATCCTTGCGGTTCATGATCTCCGCCAGCTTGTTCACAGCCTGAAGGGGGACGCGGGTTGGAGGAATAAAAGGGTTTCCACCGGCTCACACACACACCGCTAAAACTGCATGAGAGCAAGGCCTTCAGCAACACCAAAAGCCCTCGAAATTCTCATGGAAGCATTTTCCAGTGCATCTGGGGCAATTATGCTGACAGTACCAGCTGGTTTTATGTGCCTGCCAGCCTCATTTTTCTGTAAACAGAGCTGGGCAAACCGCTGACTTGACATTGCTAAAAGATTCTTGTGGTTAACTCCACCCATGAACCAGCAGTGGAGAGACTTATCCAGAACCAGAGCCTTAGCTCAGCTGGAATGCTGGTATAACAGAATGCCCTGAGGCTCACCTGAGTCTTGAGTGTGCGTTCTGTATACAGCATCTTCTCATAATTGGCTTTGATGGTATTTGTCAGCTCCTCCTCCTGTGTAGCATACTCTGCGGGGGGGGGGGGGGAGGGGGTTAGGTCAGACTGACTCCGCTTATATGCCGGAGATGACTGGCAGGTGAAGAGCAGACCTCCCCACATGCTCACCTGTCTCTTTCACACCCAACTTCTGATCAAGCTCTGCCTTCTCCTTGGCCAGGTTCTCTAAGTCTTTGGCGAGATTTTTATTGGTTTCCTCAAGCTA